CTTAAATAATAGCGGCTCCAAGAGCCCAGAGTAGCCAAAACATCTTGCGGCATCTCATGTATTAGCATCCCCATGGCTCAAAATGGCAGCGGGGGCACTTTAGCTAAAGCTTGTTCGATAAGCTTTAGTTAAAGTGCCCTTGCTACCATTTTGAAGCAATACATAAGACATGGAGGTTGGCTGGAATGCAGTAAGTGCATTAAATCAAGTCTGCTCCAACACACTGCAATTACCGTGAACTGGAGCAGCCTCCTGGCTCGTGTATAGGCACCGAAGATGAAAGAACAGACTTCTGCCATGTAGCACTGCTAGGCCTTAGAAGAGGAAGCCAGATGGAATGCATACTTGATTATGAACTGTTCTGACCATAACTTTGTCAAGAGTTAGGGGACTTACAAGTAAAGCAATTTTCTAAAGAGTGTTCTCCACTGGATCCACACACAAGGAACTTTGAAAAGGAAGTAATACAAAGAGAGACACAACATCCCACTATTTAACTATCCCTACCCAAGAATGCAAATAACCCTCATTGAACAAGATGCAGGCACTTACTTCAAGAGCATTTAGAGATGGCTTTAAATTGGCTAAAAAAGTACAAACTACAATAACACATGAAAACTGGTATTTTTGAGGGTCTGGATGAGAGGATTAAAAATACCTTAAATTTTGCAGGTTATACAGAAGTTGTATGTATTGACTATTAAAAACAAAAAGGCAATTGTTCACACAGTACCATTTCTACCCTGACAATGGAACTAAGTGGCAAATTAAAGGACATTTATTTGCCAAGTGGAGTACTTACAGTAAGGGAACAGAATGGCTAGTATGCTGGCCAATATTTGGTTGTGAACTCCTTAGCCCAATGCCAAAATAAATTTTAAAATAATAAAAAACCTAGCTGTACCGTAACTAAAGCCCAAGGAGAACCATCTGGTATTTAAAAAAGCTCTCCGATGGATGACAGGGCTGATAAGTGCCAAGAAACCTAATCAAATCTGAGGCAGAAAAACAAGCTGTTTACGTGCTTCAGTTATTGGGGCACTCAGATAAGATATGAACTTTAGACGAGTACACAACATACGCAGTGCTCAACTTTGTATAAGCATCTGACAAGTTTCCTTAGAATTACTACAATGCTTAGCATGTCAACAGTAACCATTTCTTGCTGACTCATTCAATGAGTTACAAAAAGTTGTGTCAATTTAACTTCTAGAAATATCCAATAGCTCTCTGCAAGAAAGAGTCCACACTGGGGGAACGCAGATGTTTTCCAGGGCATCTCCAATTCACCTGCATCACTATTGTGAGAATGCAGAATTCTGAGAAATAGTGATACCATATTTCAGACCAGGAGGAGTACCATACTTGTTTCTATACAAAAAAAAGTCCTACTTTGCTGAATACTTTACAGAACGCATCAGATTCTTTGCCTTTAAAACATTAATCTCAGAGATTAGGGACACAAAAGGTGGGCTCTTACAGAAAACTCTATTTAAATCATCAAGTCTCAGAGCAAAGGAGTTCCCCTCTCCCAATCAAAGACCATGGAAGAAGACAATGCAACAGCCCAGATTAAATTTTTTCGGCGTCATTCTGCTTCTGCACTACACTGAGTAGCTACTAGATTATATCAATAGCCATTTTTTAAGTGTTCATCTAGAATTTAGACTACAGCCATTCAGAACTAGAGAGTGGATCCATCCATGGTTTAGAAGGAATCATTAGAAGATGCCCCAAAGCTCGCTCACTCAAAAAAGAAATTGAAGGGTTGGGACATACGTATCATAAGCACTCCAAAAATTAAACATTTCAGCCTTAGATTGACATACAGCCCCCTGCCACAAAACCTTGCTGGACTCCTTCAAAAAACTGCCAGGGCTGCAGGCATGGAAGGATGCAAAGAAGAAGCAAAGCCAACTGCCAGCAAGTACTTCGCAGCCTTCATTTCCCCAGAGGCTGCAGAATCCCGAGACTCCTAATTAATGCCTTTTACGATTTACAGCAGGGGTTCTCAGTTTTTACGCTGTGGCACAGCAAATCATGGCCTGGAAGTGGCCGCAGCCCGGCAAACCGCGGCCCAGCAGTCAGCCTACCACGGCCGGAATTTCCAGCCGGCAGACAGGTAAGAACACCCCCACCCCCATGGGGGGCGGCAAACCCTGCACTGCTGTGGGCCCTGCTCATTTAACAAACTGTGCTTTAGACTGTTTAAAATAACCAAAAAGATAAAGCACTGGTGCCTTCTGCCCATCATCTCTCCCACCCCCATCCCAAATAGCAGAGAGGGAAGAAAAAACCTGTCCTCCATATTTTAAATCACACAACCATTAAAATCACAATCAGGTCGAAGAAATCTAGGTGAGGCTTAAGTTGGAATAAAAAAACAACCAACCAGAAAACAAAACCTTATGCTTTCTCCTTTAGAAAGTTAGAACATTCTACCTACTGATACTTTTGAACAATATCAGTGTGGTACAAAACATTAACTGAACCTAGGAATCTGACCACACCAATCAACCGTTCCATATCCCATCTGGAGAGTTGATAGAGATCCTGGCCATATTTGGTTGGCATTGCTAGATCACTATACAATTGTTAAACCTTTTAAAAACTCATTCTTAGAGTTAGCTTTACCACAACCCTTTACAAAAAAAGATCAGACAAACAATGATCAGCAACAATAAACTGCATCTTCTTGAAGAAAGCTACAAATAAGCTATTAGCCATTAATTCTGTAGAATGTTTTTATTTCATAAATAGTGTATTAAAATATAGTTGATAGAAAATAAAAAAGGGTAAAAATGAAATGTCCCTAAAACAGTGCAGAATTTGGACAACGTTCTTCATTAAATGATTTGGTCGCACGTGGAGCTGCAGCTAAAATGACCTCACAGGACTATCAAACAGGACTAACAAAATATGTCCTAGGCAAAACCCAGCCAGAAAGCAGGGTGAGGAGTAGGGGTAGATGCTGAAGAGGGGAGGTGGTCAGGGTGGTTTGTTTTACCTGCCAGAAACTCAAAGATCCCAGCTGCTGCTCCAGTATCACTGGATGTCTGCTCTTGCCACAGCACAAAGATGCTCCACCCTGGGAATGATTCCTTGCAGGGCAGGGCCACCATTCTGGCTCCCCCAGTAAGTTGGTGTCCAGGGCTGGTGCCTTGTTCACTCACCCTTATTTATGCTACTTCTACCAAGTAAAGATGTTTAATGGTGACTTAGTAACATATGAATAGATCTCAAAAGCTATAAAAATATAGTAGTAGATGCTTCCTAATTTTACTGCAGGCAGGAATTCATATTTCTCAGAATCAACAGTAGTTTATATTTGGATAGTACAAAGCTCACAAACAATATATGGAATAACTAATTTTCAACAACATCATATGTAGTGTTTCATCATTTTTTGATCATTTATACTCACAGATATATCCTTGTAAAGATGAATCTGGTCAAACTCAATGCCATGAGCTAGGAAATAATCGATAACAGAGGATAACAGCGTCATTTCAGGAAGAGAGAAGATGTCCATGAATTGTTTCAATGAAGGACCCTAGTCAAAAGGAAGAGAATACATAAGAAGAAATTCAGAAAGATAAATTTAGGTCATTATGAAAAAGAGTTGCACCTTACAGCCATGTCACTTTTCATGGATTTCCAATCACACCTTCTATCTATATAAAGCTGTTTTGTTTTCAGAAGACAGCACAGGAGAAAGCCCAGCAGCTATAGGAAGCATCAGCAGCTGATGGCCCTCTGCCCTCAAAATGCACAGGCACTTAAGTTTTAAAAAGTACTTGATAAAATAGATTTATTGGTTATTGCTGTCATTAAATAAAAGCACTTTTACAAAAGACAAGGAGAATTAACATCAGAATCTGAGATTAACAAAATATGATACTCTTAATTTCCAGTAAAGTCACTATTTTACATTGCACTGAGATAAAAGTTACTGCATTACAGAAAAGGCTGCAACAATCTCTGCAGGTTGCATACATCTAGTTCACAAGAAAGTCACGTCTTTGCCAAATGTTTGTGCACTTCAAGACCCTTGGATGCAAAGTACTGAGACAAAATATGCTCACTTAATTAAAATTCCTGATGAGGTTTCACTTGGTATTTAAGTCAAGGAAGTACCACAGTTTAACTACCATATTTACTCAAATCCAGGATAAGGGTTTCCCCCTCCACTGTTCAACATGGTGGGGGCGAACTCTCACCTTAGATGCGAGTATTGGCTAGGGGCAGACAGCTGTTCTGGCTCTGACCCTGGCCTGGAGCTGCATCTGCTGCCTTCCCCAGACCAGGGCCAAAGCAATTGCTGCTACTGCATCCTGGTTGAGCCCAGGGTGGCTCAAGTGGCTCGTACAGGGAGGGAAGCATGGGAAAAACTACAAGGTTTGTGGCCCGAGGGGAGCAAAGGAGAGACACTGTAGTGGCTCCAACTCCAGCTCCAGCCCCAACTGGGGCTGGAGCCACTGTTGTTGCCTGCCCCAGGTCAGGGTCAGTTATCAGTGGTGCTGCTGCTGCTGCTGTCAGACCACAGCTGGGCCTGGAGCCAGAGCTGCAGCATAGGGTGAGCAGCAGGCAGGGAGCGCACCAGGGGCCAAAAGGGCCAGCAGAGGCAAGATGTAGAAGGGGCAGGGGACAGGTGTTAGGCCACCTGCCACTGCTTTCCCTGCCACTTGTCCACCTGCCATTACTTTTCCAATCACACTGGTAGGAAGTAAAAGATTAGGACAACCTTCCAATAATTAGATTCTATGCATGGAAAGTTATAGAAAAATTGATCATTTTCTATGCACAGAATATAACTACTGGGGGGTCTGCCTTAAATTCAAAGTCATCTTGGATTTAGGTAAATACAGTAAGTATGTTCAAAACCTAACCATGGGCAGAAAACTCCTGCCAAACAGCCAATCATACTAAAAGGGAAAGCAGCAAAACCAACAAGAACAGCTTCATAACTACTTAAAACTTCCTTGTTACTTCATTTCCACTACTTATGCACTCACTCAGTTCCAACTTTTGCTTAAAGTAAATTAATAAAACATTAGTAAACAAGCTATTGGCCAAACCTGGCAACATTTTGATGATGGTATTGAAGGAGTAGCGTCTTGTCAGAACATTAGTTTTAGACCATGAATTCTAGTTTAATACAGTATGTCAGTTTTACATATAGAGCTACCCCTACCAAACACCTCAAGTACCACTGCATTCCATTGATACTTTAGGCACCAACATATGGAAAAGAACTTGCCAAATCCCTCTGGAGAGCTGCAGCTCGAGTCAGTTTGCTTTTCATTTGTCTACTGCAGTGGTTCTCAACCTTTTTAGACTCAAAAAAACCCCTTGGTAAGTACCAGCTCTTGGCTTTCATTCTTTTTTGACTACATAAAAAACAGAGCAATCTTCTGCTACAAAGAACACAGAAAGACCACAACAGTTCAAATAGGAATCCATACTGTCAAAAGCATTATGAAGTCTCTGGGTTTATCTTACCAAAAAATAAAATAAATAAATAAATAAATAAATAAAATAAAAAAAAAAAAAATCACATGTTAGTATTTGCACATCTAATAGTGCTAACATTGTATGGCACCCTTAAAAGATTTGCACAGCACTTAAGGGTGCCATGGCACCTTAGCTGAGAATTACTGGTCTGTGGTTGTAGAAACAGTTAATGAACTCTAATGATAGAAAGGCAGTTGGGGAAAATGCTTCAAACTAAAGAATCTCTCTGTCAAAGGAGTCTGCATACTTTCTGCAAGGTGTAATACCTCTTCGGAGCCCTAAACAAATCCTTGACAAGTAGGAATATATATGTTCAGCGTAATCTAGGATTTTGGTGGTCTCCAATTAAATGCATGTAGAATATGAACAATTCTTGTGTTAATCACTTCAATTCTGTTTTCCAGTTGCCCCTTATTAAATTGTAACCTAATAAATCATTCTGAAGATGTCACAGAAGATAAACACATTAAATATTCAAGAAACCAATTTAGCTTTGAACAATACAGCAGAGAGAAATTGCTGAATTTCAAGTTAAGTGTACCATGAGGAGATATCTGCTGCTTCTTTGGGTCCTTTATTCTAGTAAAAAAATCCTATGCCTGACATACTATGGTGTTTGGACCAAGAGTCTGGAAGAGAATTAGGAAAAAAAAGTATATTTATCTGGAGGATAAATCTGTTGGTACCATTGACAATTTTTGCTACTTGGGTTCTACAAAATCAGCAAGAACCTTGACTTCCAGACTGAATTAACAGAATTGGAAAATCAGCTAAGAATTTCGGGCTATTACAGAAACATGTATGGAATCACAACGAACTATCAACTAAGGTAAAGGTGTGAAACTATCTAACTTGTGTGCCGTCATCCCTGCTTTATGGTTCAAAAACTTGGATTACATAAGCTAAGCACATTAAGAAATGGAACAGCTTCCACATGAGATGTCCATTTAAGATTGCAAAAATTAAGTGGGAAGTCAGAATACCAAGACACAGAGGTACTGACGCACTTAGAAAACCTCTATCAAGAAGAGGAGGTTACAATGGATCAGCCATGTCAGGAGAATGGGAGGAGACCTTATCCCCAAAATCATTTTATACAGAGAGATTTGAGGCTGATCTAGAAAGTGAGGTTGCCCTCTGTGGTACTACCACGATGTATGCAAATATTATAATGAAGTTGTCCAACATCCACATAGAAAGCTGGGAGAAGTGTGCAGAATCCCAGTCAACCTGGAAGAACTATCTGGCACTGGGTGCAGCTCAGCCTTAAGCAGTTTTGAACCAGAGGATGGAATCAAAGCAAGGAAGAAGAAAGCAGCGTGCTATACAACTTGGACCCAACTCAAACAACATATGAATCTGTGAAACTTCTAACAAGCTACGCCGCTCTCGAACTGAGCTTGTCAACCACACACACATTCATCAGGCATCTGACTAGACCTCTTGTGCATACCTATGATCCAGAGGATTGACAGTTAACTAAAATATCAACAAGGATCAAATGAACACTATGCCAAAGGGCTAGACCAGTAAGTGAGCAAAGTTGAGTGCTGAATTTCTAATTGAGACAGGAGTATATTTTGTCACATCAGGACCTCTCTCCTAAATCTCTCTCACAAAGGCCGAGTACCACTGATGGTCACCTGAACAAATTACATCTTCCTTGTCTTCACTAGAAGAATATTCTCCATGTGAAAAAGTGGAGAAAAGCATTAAGAAAATATAAATAAGTGGAGAAAAGGATTGAGATATAAATAATTTTCCTGCTACTAAAAATATAAGCCATACTGAGACAGAGACCGAGAGAGGTATGTAGCTCTATAAAGGCACTATTACTAAAAAAACTACACTTCAAAACAGAGGAAAAGTCTGTGCTTGAATTCGGTAATAATGCTTACACCAGTGTAATGCTCTTCCTGAGGCTGTCTGAAGTCAGCTTTCCTTGGGAGCTGGATGCAGAGACACTTGGTTTGTTTAGAATATTCAGAAAGTGATTTCGGAGCCGAGAACAAGTTCTAGGCACAAGCAAAGTATTTACTTTCTTAAAGAGCAAATTGTTCAGACTAGCTGTTTCCAAGATAGAGAAATGTGTTCAAAAGTGACCTCGTGTTGTTGATTTAACATAGCTGACCTACAGGGGTTTTGGTGAAATGTATTAAGTCTGGTCTTCTACGAGGACAGATTTGTTTTTCACAAAAAAGATTTAATAAACAAGGAGCCTAAAATAAAAGCATAAGTTGAGTCAGGGCATGGATTTATGATTTTGTTTTTCTCAAAGCTTCTAGGACATGAAGCTAGATGCTTCTAGAAGTCCTCCCTGCCATGTGCGCAAGCCCACCCCCTTGTTTCTTTCCCTCCTCCTTTAGAACCAATATGGGCAAATTTAAGAGTTCGAGTAGAAGAAAGATAGAAGAATAAATACTTCCAGATCTTGAGCTGCCAGGAAACATTTACACACACCCAGAATCCACCCCACTTAAAATATTTCAGCATGGTTTCTGGAGCCCAAGGCAATAGGAAATGTATCAAACTTTTCTGGATGTTTGTGCTGTAGGTACAGATACTAGAATAATGAACAGGGTACAAGTGTACATCCATTTGCTGTGATTTTAAACCAACCGACCAACAGAACAAGAGAAACAAACATTAAAACTAACATAATTACCCAAAAAAGGCTTCATCTGAATGGTTTTTTAAAATGATCATATTTTTACGTTTGTTTAACTGTTCACAAATTTAAAGATGCATTCTTCTTTTGATACCTAGGTATGTATCACATGGTTCCTAGGCCACCATTTTAATTTGTGATGAATGAGATTATTCAGGTAGGGGGCTCAATTCCATTTCCATATATAAGGAAAGATCTGAAGGTGCAGGAAGCCCAGTGTAGTTGAAGCCATTTATAGATTTTGCGTGATGCTTCCACTCATTTGTTAGTAATTAAAATTCAAACTTGCAACTACATGACAGGATAGATTTTAAAATCTATTTACTGCAAAACAAGTTTGAAAGGAGGTCTCTACTCTCAGAAGTACAACTCATGCCCACATTTTGCCTTACAGCTGAGCTGTCCAGTCAGGATGCCTATCCTGAAAGGGCATGCTTTTTAGATGGCATTTCTGTACATTAGAAACTAGACAAAAGTTCACACATTACAGAGAACGCTTTGTGGATGGCCTGATGACTTTGTCACATGTGATGGATTGGATTTGACCAACGAGTCTAAAGATGAAGCACCTTTTATCTATTAGATTGTCACAACTTCACTTCTCAGTTACTCAGTCCTGAACCAATATTCCAATCATTTCAGACAGTTTGTAGCTTCTTCACCCTTTGGTTAAGCTCCACAGAATGACTATTTCAAAGATTTTAAGGTCTCTCCCTTTTCAATTTGGAGAAACTATAAGAATTTAATCCTTATGCATTTAATTTTCTAGCTGATAGGGGAAAAAATAATTCCACATCTCAGTGTTAAGGAATGCATTGAAGCAGTTATTTCAATACCTTGCCATAGAAGTCACTCATCTGGTACAGAGGGATGTGCTGTGTACCCCCATACAACTCAATAACCTCTTCATCAGGCACAGGTCTTAACCCCCTACAAGATAAAATTAAAGTCAGTGGATCGCAGTTAAATGCCAGCTGTTATTGGGATGCAAAAAGAAGGGCAGATAAAAAAAGGCAAACTCCTCCTTTACTTTAGAACTTAAAAAAACAAAACAAAACACATTGCCACAATGTTAGTTTTAAATTCCAAATGCAATTTTGCACGTATCAGGAGTTCTGAAATAGCAGCAATAAAAATATTCCATCAGACACTTAAATAGTTAAGAAGCTCAACTCTCTGCTTGATTGAGAAGTGTTATTCGCTCTTAACTTGGAGGGGGAAAAAAAACTCTATCACTACAACTTTTTGTTCCAAGCTTGGAAGTATACCACTGAAGGTAGCTGGCCTTGATCATGTCACAACAAAACTGACTAATGCAAGGAACAAGACTTCCCAAGAATCTTTATAATACCTGTAGAGAGTTTGTTCATTATTCAATGTTTCTGAGTTGTTTAATTTTAATACTCAAGAAAGTAGTGTCTTAAAGAAAACATAAATCAAAGATAATCTTATTTTATTATACAAGTCTACTTTTTGCCATGTTTTAGTGTAACTTTAAAAAATGTAATAGGTTTTATTAGTTTGCAGATGCATGCACTGGATTATTTTCCAAACTGTTACTCAATGAGCAGTGATCTTACCCTTCTTTTTAAATCAACAAGTGAGAATGTTTCCCATGGGAAAAGTTTTTGAAGGTACTGAATGTTTGTTTAAAAAAAATTATAAACAGATTTAAACAAGTTGTTCATAATAGACCCACTCAAGAAGCTTCTGTGAAGTATGAGGCAATTCCAGAAAACGAGTAACAAGCCAGTATACAAGGAAATAAATTCTACCTCTAGGAATTTTAAGATTTTAATTTAACTGGAGCTTAGCCACAAAAAACACAAAATTCAAAGAAAAACATTTGGCTTCAGTGCTCAGGGAGAATATGATGCCATTCTGAGGGCTCTGATGCAGGATTAAAGAAGATACAGTTTAAAATCTGCATAATCTTACATGCTTTGTCCAAAAAGATATTTAATTGGAAAATCGTCCAGGATGATTTAAGGTTTTTAAAGAGGAGAACATTCCTTTCTCCCATAATATCACTTAGAGCCAATGTCCTTAAAACTAAAGCTTGTGGGAATAATCAGCAAGGGTGGCCTTAATTTGGCAGGGGCACTATATAGATAACTACAATAAGTTTCAAAGCCTCATTGATATCAGTGGAAACAAATGCTAAGTAAGGACAATGTTAGGACCTAATGAATGAAGCATTTCTGAATTAATTCCTTAATTTAGAGCAGTGGTTCTCAACCATTTTAGATTCAAGGGACCACTCAGACAATGCCAGCTTTTAACTTTTACTTTTTTTACTATGGAAAAATAGAGCAATTCTGCTGCTGCAAAGAACTGAGAGAACCACAACAGGTAAGAACATTTTTGACACTACAGATTGCTATTTGAAATCTCTGGGTTTATCTTATGAATCATGCACATGTTTGCACACCTAATAGTATTAATAACACTATGAAAGCATCTCGCAGCATTCCCCGTTTGAGAATCACCAACTTCATTCTATCAAATTTTTGCTTGACAAAACTGAAGCCAATTATACAGGCAATATTTTTATACCGCTGCTGAATTAAAGAGGCATTACAAGTTATAGGATGGAAATCAAAACCTGATTGAAGTCTCTTGCCAAATATAACACATGCTACTGGAAAGTAAATGAGGATCTCGTATGCAAGAGGGGGACCTTGGAGGGACAAAGGTGAGAGGGTTAAAAGATATGCCACCTCATTTTGTGCATCTGTCCCCCATGCTGCAATGAAAAAAAGTTCACTTCTATCTGAATCTAATGCCAACATCTCATTGCAGAAGTCCCTAGCTACCACTTTCAATTTAAAAAGTTGTGTTTTAGGTACAGTTTTTGACCTTCCAATTGAAAGAATGCACCACAGTCAGAAGCACCAATGCCTCAAAGGCAGCAACAGGTAGAATATCACTTAATATGGTAGCACAAGCTGGGTAAATCGCACAGAAAATATTATAGATGGCATCAGCTTTTCTTCCAGTCTAATGATGTTATATGTTGTAATGTGCGCACTTAAAATTGCTTCTGCTCATGCCAACGGTAGTCATGAAAATTAACAAACTATTATGGTGACCCACTTTTAGGTATGTAGGAAAGGGAGGGAGAGGAGAAAAGGGGCTCACATGTTCCTGTGTCAGCCATTACTAACCTTAACTATTGTCTCAGTGTAAATGGCTTGTTCAATTAATGTTGGCAAATATTTGACATCACTTATTCTGGAGGAGGTTCAAAAACCCAGAACAGATTTTAGAGGTAAGGTGGGGATATTAGTCATGAGTTGCTTGGCTCTTATTTGGAAAAATATTTAACTATTCCAGCCAGCTAAAGAAAGGCAAAACATTACTTTGCTCTATATCCTTGGAATGGCCCCACAGAACATGCAAAGCAAAGGCTCTCATGTTACTTTGCATTTATTCCCTGGCTTCTAAAAGATAAATCTAATCCTGCAAGTGCTCACCATACCCAAATCTCAGTGAAAACAATGGGACTTGCTGGCACTCAAGACCGTTTAGGACTTGCCATGGAATAGGAAGAGCTTTTAAATCAAGAACATCATTCCCACCTTGAATGAGTCCAACAGCTGCCAAGACACAGCATGCAGAAGCAATTAAAGTGACTATGTTGGTTACTAATGTTCTATTCAAGGACTTGTAGCCAGCTCTCAGCCTGCTCTTCTTGAAGAAAGGCAATCCTGATTCGTTGGCTTATTAGATCATTTTTCCTTTACCCTCCTAGAAAATCATCCCATTCCAATGAAGTTCAAAGCTACCTCTTCATTTTCACTTGCAAAAGACGTTCCTCATAGCTTTCCAACATGAGCAGAATTTTGTCAAGGTGGCTCTTGCACATATGAACTTCTCTGTAAAGAAAGTCTATCCTTGGTATAATGATTTAGTTGCATAAATTGCCTACACAGATTTCTCTACAACTTAGCCTGAGTGGGATAAGTAATCCTATGCATCATTAACCACAAGACAAAAGTTTGAGCCTTTACTCCCACACTTGGCTCAAAATGCTTGAGCAAAGCAGCCACATGTAAGTGCACGCCAGACAAAGCAAGTAGGAACAGGAAAAGCTAGAGAAGGCTGCTTTTCACTCTAAGTTACATTTTGAGATTTTTGTGATCTGACTTTGAATGTGAAGTGTTGAGCATTTAGTAAAGTGTGTTCTCATCTGACAGACCTATATGCAGTGCCCAACTGGACATAGTGGAAAGCATCAATCTTCATCAGAAGGCTCTGTGAAAAGAAATACAAAATGCCTATTTACCCATGTTTATTCAAGAAGAACCTAAATAAGTTTGAAGTCCTGATTACTTTAATTGCAGTTAAATTAAATCTCAGTTGTGAATACATTTAAAACTGTGTTTAAAACCACCCTGCAACAAGTTTGGAAGCAGCGTTCCCTCTAAGTTGTATGGCATGCGCAGCTGCACCTGGTAGTGCAGCATGAGCATGCCACACAACTTAGAGGGAATGCTGTTTGGAAGCATCACAAAGAAATGTACCACAGACCAGGTTCTACTGCATCTCTCTGAAAGAGGCTACAGATAGAAAAGAAATGTAGAACTTAACAGAACATTGTCTTAATGTTATATATATCTCACATTAGGAAGTATGTATTTCAGAGGAAGTCCTTATCTGTACAGATCTATATGCAATCACATTTGACTTAAACAAAATGAAACATGCTCTCCCCACCCCCGCAACAAAAGAAAGCTGGGCAAGTCTCTTGTTGAGAGTTCTCTTCTTCACAAGTTATTTCTTCTCTCATCTCAGTACTCTGTAGCCATATCTGGAATTCCTTAGCCAAGGACAGAACAGACTCATGCTTTACAACTGCAAACCACAGATAAAGGTGTAGTATCAGAGCTATTTACCTAATAACCACTATGAAAGCAGGTTATTCCCTAATATTCCTAAACACTACCTCTCCAGTGAATATCCACAGTAACTACACAAGCTTCAAATTTGTAGAAGTATTAAAAAAGTTATACAAAATGAAAAGATCTGCTTTGGGTTTATTCTGTATACCACTATCTACCTATCTTACTCTCATATCGGCAAATATTCTCATGATGTTTAAGGTGACACCCAGAGGTCCTAAGAACAAGTGGTACCTCATTATGCTGTAAGAGAAGGTAGTCCTTGCCCCAGAGAGGTTACAAGGGAGGAATAAGCAGGTAAAGAAAATAATCCACAGTATATATTCTATTGAAAATCATTTCAATCATGTCATTACAAGAAAGAGATATTCAAAGAACTCCTTCCTGTAGTATCAGTACACTAGAAGTATGAAGCAGATGTGCGTGACTTACCTTTTTCACATCATAGTGAAGTCCCCGTATGGCAAATCCTGGAATGTAGTCATATTTCCCAAGCCCTTCTGGATACTTTAAAAAAAAACCCAAACACACAATAAGAACACTGTTAGTTTCATGCAACAAAGAAGTTTTTATAAGAATGAATAATTTGGCAGACTGATCTGGCTTTCTATCCATGAAAACCTACTATCCCACATCCAACAGTGTTCCAAATACTCAAGATACTAGAAGACCATAATGTAACTTTACAAATCTGACGTGCTTGAGTAAGCAATTGAATTCCTGATCCTTACAGCACCTAGCTGGTATCCTGAAGATATGGTTGCAATATGTTGGCAGGGATGGCAAATCTATTTATTAAGTCAGTCACACATGGGAGGCTTTTCCTGAGGTTTGAGAAGATAAATTTCATCCAGCCATTGATTTCTGAGGGATATCAGCTTTCAGTTTGTTTTTCCACCTTTCCCGTTTTTAAATAAATAACATTTCTAATCTTTATGGGTATTTATACACATGTAGCAGGAGTGGAGGGGAGGGAACGCTTTAAAATTAGAGTGGCTGCAAGAGCTACTCTTATTAAAGCATCTGGACTGTCACATGTGTGGAAGAATGCCATCCCAGTTTCTTCCCAGACTCTTCTATTACGTTTTTCCTTGCCATTGTTTTCCCACCCGTCTGTCAATTCTGTTGCCCAGGGTTACTGCAGATGTGAGTGGCTTTGTGTTGGCACTGACCTCATGGCATGGGGACAGGGGCTTGAGCCCTTGTCACTCTCTTAGGTAACCAGTGATGCTTGTTAAATTGACTGGATGGCATCAAACAACACCTGGCCTTGATTGAGTCTCACAGGTGATGTCAAAAGGGCTATAAAAAGCTAAGAGTCTCCAGGAGAAGGGCAGCAGCCAAGTTAAGTTACATATAGCAGCCGAAACATCTGCCACTCTTTGGTACCTTTTTCCAAGTCTTAGTAAAACGATGATTAGACAACATTGAGATGTCTTTTATTTGAATATGCAGCTATTGGAAGACTGATGCTTGCAGTGTTACAGTTAGCACAGAGTAACCACAAAATGATAAAGATTTGTGAAAAGTGGTAATTATGTAAATTCACAAGAAAACTTCATACAACATGCTTTACAAAAGTAATTTTAAGGACTAAAAATAAAATTGATAAATTAAAACACACATTCATCCCATTAGCAAAAGGTTACCTTGTACTGTTCAATTAAGATGTCTCTGGCAGTGTTGAAAATCATTGAGTGTAATAAATTAGAATATTGTGCTAATGTATAATCATAATCGAAGCCATAGATCTCAACATCTCCCAGGCTGATTTCATTATTTGCATAGATAGCTGCAGGGTTAAGGAGATTGCAGACCCCTGGTGGAAGGAGATCTGGAAAAAAAAAAAAAGAGAGAGAGACTGTAAAGATACAGTCAAATTAAGTTTCAGCTCTTTGTTTTTGGATCCAATAGCAGTTGGGGCTCCTACTACAAAAAAGAGGAAAGGGGTTTAGTCCAATAAGCTTAGACAGTGAAACTGACTATTAAAATACTTTACTCTTCAATAAAGACATCATGAAAACTTCTAGCCATGTCTTCATGCCTAGCGAATATGGCAAGTGGGACTGATGTTGAGTATCAACCAGATATAAGGTACTGACCTATATAGAAGTCATGCAGTTTGGGGGTTTTAGAACTGTCAGAGTTCCAGGATTACAATAGCTGGCAGCTGGAGGATTTGCTGGACAGGTAGTCTTTATATATAGCCTGAGAAAATATATGCTGTTTTTTTAATTTAAAAAAAATATGGCAACATAAGCTTCAGATATAAGAAGCCTGAAACCTTTAAAACAGATTTCAAAGTTTGTTATTTGGAAATGTATTCCCAAAAGATCTATGAAGAACAGAACAATTATCCAAATTTAGTTTGGTTGTTCATTTGTTGTACCCACATTGGTGTTATGCACACATACCAAACTTATTTTTCATAAAACAAGCAAAAAAACCCAGAAAAAACCGAAATAAACAAGCTAAGTTCCTAAAGTATAAGGCTGATAAAGATGGATTCTCTGCTTTGTTCTAATAAATCAACTAGAGCCGTATCTCATACGCCTTACACATACACAGTGGGTGTGTAGGTGTCAAAAAAAATGGATATCCAGGTGTAATTTCTAGCTCAGCTATAAGTGGTATTAAAAAAAAATAAAGGAAAGGAAAAGAGGGAGGGGAAAGGGGTTTAGACTGGGACTGTCCAACTTCTAAGTCCCCAGGGGTCATGCATACCAGGGGCTGCACCAGTCAAGCCACTAGGCCATGCAAAAAATCTCCCCCCCTGCAAGCTCCTCCCCCCTCTAAGCCCCCTCCCCATCAAGAAATGCCCTGGTTTAAACCATTTTGCTCAGGATGACAAAATGACTGTCTTGTTGAAGTCTGGTGTAGCAGACTATGACAGATGCCAGGCCTACCCATCTCCACAACAAATCAGTGGGCACATCTACACATGCACTTTAAGGCACAGTAGCCTATTCTGTGTATTAAACTGGTGCGTAAAACACCATGCTAATACACTAATGTGTAGTAGTCCAATAAGCTTAGTAGGCTTCCATGCATTGTGTCACTGAAAAAAAAAAAAAAAAGCATGCACTTGTGCTATGGCACATTTGCGTGTTAATTTAGTACCTCATATTGGAGGGTGCCTGTACATAAGCAAAGAGGCTACTCCGACATCTGAACTGCAGTGCATTAGAGCAGACTCAATTAAATCGAGTCTGCTGAAGCGTGGTAGTTAGTGCTTCAGCAGCCTCCCTCATTCCCACACTTCATGGGGGAATCATGTCAGGACATTTAACAGTACTAGCATTGCATTGCATGCCACAGTACCATTGAAAGGCTCTCGAGGTACATCAGGGATGCCATGGCATTCTGCTTGAAAAGCAATGCTTTAGAGCATTATTTGAAGTTGCATTTCATTGCAGTGTTTTCCACCATTCAGCATAGTTGTACCGGCTACATTTCAAATACTATGAAATTTCTTCCTCCTAAACAGGTCTTCATTCTCTATTTCATGTTAAAATTTAAAATGATTCTTTATTCCAGTTAACAGCTCTGGAAAAAGTTATTCTTTTCCTCTACACAGTTCTCAGCCCTAATTATGCGCTTGGCTGCTTTCTAAAAAAACCCAAACAAACAAAAAAAAACCCCCACACAGCTACACACTAAGCTACAATGGTTAGGGAGGTGGGCATTACGTAAGGAACAGGTCCCTCTTGTGCAGCCATGCAGGATCAGCTTCATGTCATGGTCCTTCTATAGTTGCCTTGTTCAGAAGAGTATAGCAATGCCCTATTATTACCCAGACAGAAAGTAGTTATATATAAACATGGCTCTGGGAATACTCATAAATGCTACCAGACTATGCAATAAGTTAGTTATCCAGAGGAGTTTTTTTTTTCCCTCCATGGAACATACAAAGCCTTTAATTTTACACTTAGTCAAGGTACCTCATGCTATTTTTTTTAAAAGTTTCATCCTTAAGGCTAGTGAACATGCAGCTCACTCTGGTGGATTTCCAGTTTAGTAGTTATTTTAGAGCTTTTCCAACCAGTTTGAGCTGCTGCCAAAACACTAATAGAAATAAGTAAAACTTAAAAGAAACCCCAACCCAAACCAAAACTCCAAGCTTCCTTCTGCCTCTTTCATCAGGTCTGAGATACTTCCTTACTGGGCCTTATACCATGCAATACACTTCGGGGCTTTCCCAAACCTTGTATCCTGGAATGATACGTGTCTACACAGGAGAAGGGAGAAAATATTATTTGCAGGCAGATGAGTAAAACTTGAAAGATACTTCCACACACACACACACATCACCCAGCAGGTAATTGTGTGAAAAAGAAGGGGAGTGGAGGGGTAGATCAAGGCCCCCGCAGTGAAGGAGAGAGTGGGACAGAGGCAGGGACAGAATCTGGGAAGAATGGAGCCCAAGCAGCTTATCCTGGGGCACACACCCATGGGGCAGACATGGGGCACAACGTCACGTGCCTCCCATCACCAGGCAGGCAGGGGACAAGTCAGCCAGCTCACAGGAGGCACATGGCATCGTGCAGCTGCTGAGGCACCAGCAGCTGGGTGCACAACCCAGCCTGCAGTGGCAACCCACCTCCATGAAGCCCCGTGCACAAATCCAGGGGGCACCCCCCCATGCCTGCCCCAGGGGTACACACAGCAGCAGGAGCTCCCCCATGCCCCTTAATGAGCCTCTCTGGCTCCAACCCTCCCACAGCCCACCCCAGGGCCCCATTCACCCCAGCCCCTGGCTTACTCCCTCCCTCACTGTGGGAGCCTCTATCTGCCCCCCCACACCCCTTCCCTCCCCCTCGCCCCTTCCACACTTACCTGCTGGGCACTGCAGGAGCCTCTATCTGCCCCACCACCACCACCACTGCAGCCACCCAGAGCCCACACCAGGGCTGCCCTGCAGTGTTGTACAGTGCCACTGCTGTCCTGCTTTTGGGGGGCCTAAGTCTCATTAGCCCCAGCCTTCCGCCACCTATGCATGTCTATCAGAGTGATAAGTCCTGACCTTTTGAGATTCACCCATCCTGTATCATACCAATCCCTGTTACTTTTTTTTAAATGTTCTCGGCATCCCTTCTATTTAGGGGTGCACTGATAAAGATTTCCTTGACCGATACCAATAGACGATTATTAACCAGTCATATCAGCCAATACCAATCCAAAAGCTGATTTACCAGAATGCAGCCAGGTAGTGTGGGGAGCAGCTCCCTGCAGGTAAGTCTAGAGGAATGGGGGCAGATTGAGACTCACACAGTGGAGGAGGGAGTGGGGCAGGGGCAGAGGCACGGGGCGCTGTCTAGCCAGGGCAGTGAATGGGACCCGGGCCTGGGGCAGGGAGTGGAACAGAGCCATGGGCGGCTCATTCAGGGGATCAGTGTCCCAGTGCTTAAAACTGGTGGTGGAGGTGCCTGAAATATAGCTCAAATGAGCTTTAGTTCAAGCACTGCCACCACCGTTTTTAAGCGCAGAGATGCTTTTAACCAGAGCCGAGCCAAGGAGGGTGAGGGCGGATGTGGGTTACTTACTGCAGGCTTGGGGCTCTCCGCCCTGCTGCCTTTGCCTCGGGGGCCCTGCCCCACAACTTACCACACCCATTGCTGCCGGGTCAGCAAGGGGCACGTGGCTAGCGTGGGGCTTCTAGGGAAAGGAGGCAGAGCAGAGAGCCGTAAGACCACAGCAAGCAGCCCGCTTTCACCCTGTGCACAAATCTGGTGGGGCACATGCCATCCCATGCCTCCCCTGGGGGTGCATGCAGTGGTGGATAGCTGCCCCACCTTCCCACCTTGCCCCTGCGCCCCCTGGATGAGCTGCATCCCACTTCCCACTCCAGCCCGGGGTCCCATTCACTGTCCTGGTTAGGCAGTGCCCCTAGCCCCTGCCCCTCTCCCTCCCTCACCTTGGGGGCCTCGATCTACCATCCCCAAAACTTACCTGCAGGGCAATTCTCTCCATGCTGCCCAGCTGCATTCCTGGCCACATGCATGAGTGCGGCTGCACACATGCATGCGGTATCTGGGACTCCAGCCAGAAGGCATATTATATTTATTGGTGAACTTTAATTGGTTACACTGGCCACAAAAAAAACCCAAACAAACCTGACAGCTGATAATATTAATTTTCCTTTTATCAGTGCCAATCTAATATGCAACCAATATATCAGTGCACCTCTACTTCTATTGTTTCCCTATGTTTTAAACACAAAGACAATATACCTGAATGTACGAGAGAAACACGGGTGCACGTTCTATTCAGAATTGCATTGTACTAATTAAAAGACATGAGGTAAGACTCTTTCAAAGTGCAATGAGCAAAATGCTATACTGTGAGCAAAGGCTAAAACCAAGTAATCAAAAATGTGAACAAAGTGTGTATTTGACCCAAGAGATCAGTAGCAATCAACCTTTGCAGACCAACAGCAAAATATAGTTTGAAGAGATCAGGAAACTATAGTGCAGGGATTGGCAACCCCCATTACGTGTGCCAATTAGTGGCATACAGAGATATTTTCCCTGGCATGCCAGGAGGTGTGTAAAGGAAAAATTGTTTAAAATTTTTTAAGTTGCTGCTCTCGCCTCCCAGAGCAGCCACAGCTCCCAGCACCATGGCAGGCACCAGGGGCAGAGTCAGGAAAACAGTCTGTGTTCTTCTAACCCTGTCCCCTGGCTGTGCCCTCCAGCAGAGCCTGGCCCCTGGAGGGGAGCTGCAGGTGGGCGGGGCTGCTAGGCTGGAGGCTTCCAGGGGTGGGTGAGCCCTGGGTGGGGCCAGAGCCTAGGCAGACAGCGCCCTGTCTTATCTCTCTTCTCCTCTTTTTTCTTTCCCCTTTTTTCACTCTCTCTTTTCCTCTCTTCTCCCCATTTTTCTATTTCTTCTCTTTTTCTCTCCCCTTTTCTTTGTTCACCTCTTTCTCTTCTCTCTTCCTTTTTCTTTCCCTCCCTCTTTTTCCGCCCCCTCTCATCACAACATGCTTAACAAAAACGAATACATAAGAACAAAGGTAGTATATGAAGTTTTATTTATTGTCACCAGGTTTAGAATTTATAGAAAACCTGGTATTTACTGTAAAGAAAAAAAAAAAGCAACTTTTATAATTATTCACAGAAGTTTAGGGCTGGAAGGTACCTTGTGAATATTCAGTGCGTCCTGCCACGTACCCCTTCCCCACCCTGCTTTTACTTTTCTGGCCTGCCAGCACTCCCGCACCTTACAAGGTAGACATTGCAGTTTTTTTGGCACTCCGGCCAAAAACATTGCCTATCCTGCTATAGCAAATACAATAAAAAACTCTGGGACAGAATCTTTACTTTATACAATCAATCATGGCTCCTTTCCTCTAGACCAATATGGTGACAACCTAGATATCTTATCTTATACAGTTCACTTCACCATATTAAGATGGGAAAGAAGGAGAGAAAACCAACTGCAAATTCCTTGCCAGCTTGAAGCAGTCCCCAGAAAGTGCAAATTATACCTGCTTTGTCCTAATATATGGCTGGAAAAACAGGCATGTAATCAAGGAGCTTACTGTTAGTTCCCATCTTCTCTCCCCTTTCCTGGGTTGGCTGGTGTGCATGTGCAGAGACAATGCTGTTCTAGGTCAATGGGGGCCAGCCTTTTTGGCAAGCATGCCACAGATTAGTTTTAAACCCTGCCTGAGTATCACTCCCTGCCCAATCTGCTCCTCTGCTTTTTGCTTTCTTCTCTGTCTGCCACCATGCTGCCTGTTCTATCCCCAATCTGCCATGTACCATACACACAGGCTTCCCATGCCATTTGTGACATGCATATCAGTTTGCCACCTCTGCTCCATATGCCACTGGTTCTCAGCTGGGGTGCCATGAAAACCAATGACCCCAGCACCTCTGGCACAGGGTGAAACAGCAGCTGCAGCAGAAGGACATGCCTGCCTGCATTACATTCGGAGGGCTGGCATACCACTTCTGCTACAGCTCTTCCTAGTTCAGTTCTGACATACCTCCAGCAAAGAATGGTGTATGGGGCAGTTTTACCTGGTGGCAGTGGCACCTCTCTCTAGGCTGTCACCACTGTGAGGTGAAACAGCCCCAAGCACGGCTGTTTCCAGGAAGCACACCAGAGCCAAATGGGGAAGAGCGGCAACAAAAGTGGCTGCCTGCCTGTATAATGTTATGCAGGCAGGTAGACCTTCCTGATGCAGCCATCTCTCAATTCATCTGTGACATGCCTCCTGAAAATAAAGGTGCATGGGACAGTTCTACTTGCTCTGTCTGCCTGTTTCTGGGAGACAAGATGCAAGGTTAGACCAGGAAGTTTTTGCCACAGCTGCTTCCAATCTGACTGCATTAGGTGCATGGCACAGTTTCACCTGGCCATGGCAGTGTGACAGTGGCTGCACCGGAGCACCCTCTTGGTCTGCCCCTCCCAGGCAGACTGTGGAAACTACAAGAGGATGACAGAGCAGCCAAAAACACTCTGCTCCTTTCCCCTACAATGTTGTGCACAGACTGTTGGGGACACTCCAGTGAAAAGCATTCACAGGTCATATCCTAAACATGGCAGGAAGCAGTTGACAAAAAAGTGCCATACAGTGATGAGGTTCACTGAAACACACACATACACTCTCCCCTCCCTTCACTTGAAAATGGTAGGTTAAGTTGAAAAGATATACATTTTTATTAATATAATTGCTCATTACCATTACAGTTTTGAACCTGATCAGCTACAACTGAATCAGTCTAACATCACTGCACTGGCTGAAAAGCTCAGCAAACCACCTGAGAGATTAATCTTTCACTCTGTGTTGCAATCATTGTATCAATAACAAAACTAGACTTCATCCCAGGGAAGGTACTCTTTCTGTTGCTCTGTGCCACAGAATGCTCTGCTATATCCATCTAAGCAGGACCTACTGCCTTGAAACATAGCCAATAAAAATAGAGAACTAATAAAGTGATAGAAGAACGATGGTGAAATAACTGAAAAAGCAAGAACATTTAGAGGTTAGTTTGAAACACTATGCTGAACTCATAGTGCAATCACTGAATGAACCAGCTGGTTAACAAAAGTAGAATTTAAAAGATATACCTTCTCTTTAACAGATATACCTTGAAAAGTACCAATAAGAAAAAAGAAAGTGAAGAAAGACCCAGTTTCAGACAGGTTTTGAACCATATAGAATATTTTGGGTGTATCCAAGCATGACCCTGACTAACTACAAAAGAAAATGCTGTCAGATTTGATTAGTCTCAAACAAGTGCAGATCAGACATTCATTTTCTATTGAAGTTTGAATTAAGTGTTATACAAAGCTAACTTTGACATACTGGTGCAACTCAAAGTTAAGAATACCAAAAAGAAGCATGGGTTTTTATACCTTTTCAGAGACACCAGATCTTGAAATTTTTGCAAGTTAACCAATCTTTGTGAGGAGCTTTTTATGCAGAACATTACCAAAATCTTCAATCAGGTATTCAGCAAGAGCCTGTTTTGCATGCACATCACCTACCTTGTGTTGTGTACCTGTGATCATCATTACAAGTAATTCTAATAAATGCATCATATGGAGTGTTGTCATTGTGCAAATAAAGAAATCATAGCTTGTTAGCTCAAGTAGCATGTTTTCACTCAAAAGGTAGCATTAGCTCCTCCCAGTTTACATGCACTTGAGACTGTTTCCTCCATTGCATACCAGAATAAAACAAAAGAAAAAATGAACTGTAAGAAATTAACAAGTATTATCTCAAGTCTGATAAAGTGGAATCACTTTGCAGATTTCACTTTAATATTAAAGAAGTCCACCCCTTTGATGAATCAGGTTAAGCAACAAGTACTGTGTATAAAGCCTGGTGCTCAAAACATACCAATAATTCTTTAGCTTCAACCATATGTTTTTTGCGGTTGACTTGTACACAGAACCTTACACTTTGTATCATTTCTCGCATTAGAAAAAAAAAAGTAATTATAGTAAAACAGGCAAGATTTCTCTCTTAACAGATTACACTCACTCAAGAGAAGCATCTGCCTTTACTTCCCCCTCCCTTTAACTACAGGGCAACAAAACCACTTAAACAATAAAAGAGAAGAGTCAGAGTGTTTCTAGGCTTTTGAGGGTGCTTAGTCAGGAAATTTCAAGAATTACAGCATCAGCAGGGAACAGTTTTTCCATTTTATTGTGCTGTGGAAAATGCTTTGTTACTTTAATATTAGGAGTTTAATATGGCTAAAAAGTGCTGGCTTGGCAGTCTTCCATTTACGTAATAAATAAATACAGCACAAGTTCTCTTTTGTTGAGGCAGTAACACTTACAATCCTGATGGGAAGAGTCTGGATTACCTGCTAGCAGTGTTCCCTCTAAACGGTGTGGAGTGCACGGCCGTGCAGAAGCAGTCATACCGCACTGCCAGGAACACCTGCGCAGCTTAGAGGAAACACTGCCTGCCAGGATAAAGATGTTTGGTATTCATGGTCCTCTTTATTTTTTTGATTTTGCATCTTGGGCTAAGTCAGCCAAATCAGTTCTAAATTCTGTTGACTAAGCAAAACTCAGTTATTCAAGCCTGTGCGGTGCTACCACCAGCAAGTATCCTACCTCCCAGACTCTTCAGCCTGGGGCTTCAGATACTCCCAAACCTATGGCAAGCATACATGCAAGCCCCAGGCCCAAAGGTCTTGGAGTTCAGATGCCCTCTAATCTTGCTTGTCCTCCTAGCCAAAGAAGCAAGCGAGAGGGAAAGTCCGAGAGCAATCCCCCATCACCATAAAGTATGTCACCGAGCTCCTTGTATTGGAGGTACTGTAGATTCTTGCAGGGGTTGGGCTGCGTGAGTTGCAAAGGACCCTCATTCAAGGCCACAAAGAAGTGCACCTCCCCTGCCAGGTCAGAAAAACCGTCTGGGCCAGAGGTCCTCAAACAGCGACAGACCCAGGGAGTCGCGAGCAACTTAAAAGGGGGTCGCAAACTTCTCTTCCCTCCCCAGCGCGCAAATGCTCTGCCTGCTTCCCTTCCCCAGCCGCCACGCACATGTTCTTGGACTCACCCACATTGGAAGTGTCTCTTTTGTTTTGTAATCTTGGCGTGTACGGGTTAGTGAATGTGCTTCGTCTATCTCCTACCTAATCCTAATGAAGTCAATAGCTTTAATCATGGGGGAGGGCTCACGTAAGTTTTTACAGGGTCACAGTATCACAAAGTTTGAGAACCCCGATCAGGGCCAAAACCATCGTCATGGTAGCTCCCCATGGTCCTCTCTGCATCAACAAGATTCAGAGCCACACTTCATCACCAAGAAACAAGCTAGCAGAAGCATAAGGATCCAACCAGGACTAACATTTGTCCTGGTGGTGAGGCTTTACAAGTCAGTTGTTGGTGTAGCCACTTTCCATGCCCCTTCCACCACCCACCCAGCAGCAACAAAGCTCGTTATCTGAGCCCATTCTGGCGCTCCCCCTGGGACCCAGGCACACTGAGCCTGCCGGGTCCTCACTGCTCCGTGCTCAGTGCAGGTGGCCTCGCCACCTTTGAGAGAACAGCAGCACCCGGGCCTTCCTTGCTCTCAGTCTCCCTGGGTGCCCGCCGAGAAGCTGCCGGCAAGATCCTCTTTCTAAAGGGAGGATCCCTTCAGGGTAGCCTGACTGCAGGTCGCCCCAGCAAGCTGGGTAGGGAGCAGAACCGTGGCGGGGCGGGGCGGGGCAGGACGGGACGGCTCCGCGGGTCACGGCCAGGGCTCGGCAGCCGCAGGCGAAGCCGCGGGACGCAGCGGCCCGGCTCTTACCGTAGACCAGCTTCTTCATCTCGTGGTACCTGGCCCACAAATAGGACTTGGTGTCGGCGGCCTCGGCAGGGCCGGGCGCACTGCTCGGGGAGGCGGCGGCGGTGGCTGGGCCGGGCTCGGCGGCTCTCCGGACGCGGCCGGGCAGGGCAGGGGGCTGGGA